CACACCCTATGTTAACTCCTCCCACGCTGTACCAGGGTTGGTCTGTGTAGCTAACAGAACCTGGCAGAAGTGATGGAGGTCACTCCTGACTTTAGTTTATAAAACACTGATGCTTCCATCTTGTATGTCCTTTTTCTTGTATCATTAAGTCTGGGGAAGCCGAATGCCACATTGTAGGGACATTCTGCCTATGGAGAGTCCCAATGTGGTTGAGTAACTGAGGTCTGATAACCATGGAAATAACTGTGGTGTCATGAGAAAACCTGAGCTCAAACAACTCAGTTGTTTCTGGATTCCCAACCTATAGAAACTGTGAGATGATAAATGTGTGTTGTTTAAAACTACTAAGTTTTGGAGTGATTTTTTACATAGAAATAGCATATTTTTTCAAATGACTTATTATTTTCAATAACTGTTCTACAGTATACCCTTTCTGTAGGCAGGCATTTGGGTTTTAGCAAATGATGTAATGAATACCCTTGGACATAGCCATACTTCTACAGGTATTTTGGGAAAGGGGGAGAGAGGGAATCCTAGAGGTGAAATTGCTGGGTCAAAGGGTAATTTAAAATTTTGGCCGGGTACGGTGGCTCACACCTGTAATTCCAGCACTTTAGGAGGCTGAGGCAGGTGGATCACTTGAGGTCAGGAGTTCAAGACCAGCCTGGTCAACATGGTGAAACGCTGTCTCTACTAAAAATACAAAAATTAGCCAGGTATGGTGGCGCATGCCTGTAATCTCAACTGCTCTGGAGGCTGAGGCAGCAGAATCACTGAAACTGGGAGGTGGAGGTTGCATCTGTGAACTATTTATTGATATCCTTGTCCAACTTTTGTTTGGTATCTTACTTTTTTTTTTTTTTTGAGACAGAGTTTCGCTCTTGTTGCCCAGGCTGGAGTGCAATGTTTTGATCTCCACTCACTGCAACCTCCGCCTCCAGGGTTCAAGTGATTCTCCTGTCTAGGCCTCCTGAGTAGCTGGGACTACAGGAATGTGCCACCACACTCAGCTAATTTTTTATATTTTTAATAGAGATAGCGTTTCACCATGTTGGCCAGGCTGGTCTTGGACTCCTAATTTCAGGCGATCCACCTGCCTCAGCCTCCCAAGGTGCTGGGATCACAGGTATGAGCCACCATGCCCAGACTTCTTAGTGATTTTTAAGAGCTCTTTGTGAAGTTTGGCTATTAACCATTCATTCTGTGTATGTTGCCAGTATATCCTTTCATTAGGTCCTCTTTTAGCTTTGCTAGTGATGTGTTTTGCAATTTTAATTTTTGTATGTTGTCAATCTTACTCTTTATTTAATGTGACTTTTATTTATTTTTAATTATTATTTTTTTTTAGATGGAGTTTCGCTCTTGTTACCCAGGTTGGAATGCAATGGTGCAATCTTGGCTCACTGCAGCCTCCGCCACCTGGGTTAAAGCAATTCTCCTGCCTCAGCCTCCCAAGTAGCTGAGATTACAGGCACTCACTACCATGCCTGGCTAATATTTTGTAGTTTTAGTAGAGACGGGGTTTCGCCATGTTGGCCAGGCTGGTCTCAAACTCCTGGCCTCAGGTGATCCGCCTACCTTGGCCTCCCAAACTGCTAGGATTACAGGCATGAGCCACCGTGCCCAGCCTAAAGTGACTTTTACATGATGGGTAAGAATTTACCGAGCCAAGAGCAGGGTAGTCCAGGCACATGGACCAGCCGAAAACCTGCATCACTTACATGAGGAATTTGTGAGCACACTGGTTGAGTGTGAAGAGAAGCGGTGCTGTAGACAGAGGCAAGGGCTATCCCTGGAGGACCCTGGCTGCTTGGTTAGTAAGCTTGAATTTTTTCCTATAGGTAATCCTATAAGCAGAGAAAGGTTTTATACTGAAATTGATGTAATCAGATTGCATTTGAGATCCATCTCCGGCAGCTGTGTTGAGGAGGAGGGCTCTGAGGACACAGAACTGGAAACAGACACACCATTTAGGAAGCTGCTGCAATTGTCCAGAGAAAAGCTAATGATGGCTTGAACTGGAGCAATGGTGGTTGGATTGAGGGGAAGAGATAGAAGGGAGCAGTGTTTAGGGGGTAAAAAGGATCTCATTCGATATATATGGAGAAGTGGGAATAAGGGAAGGACCAAGGATGGTGTTTAGGTCTTTAGCTTGACCCAAATGGATCTTTTATAACACCTTGACTTTTGTCAACAAATGAAAAAGCATGTGCAGGAGGAAAAGCTGGGTTAGCAGGCAAGTGAGTTTGGTTGGAACAAAATGAGTGCAAAGGCTTGTGGGAAACCCAGGTGGGGAAGGTAGGTGTACAGATTTGGGAGTATTCAGTATTAACATGAAACTAAAAAGCATTTAAGTGGATCAGCAAATACAAGGAGAAGCCTTTTAAGTAAGAAATTCGAGTTCATTTTTGGAAGAGCCAAATTATTGCTAAGATACACAGTTAAGAAGTGCCAAAGGCAGAAAGGATAGCTGACTCAGCCTGGATCTCCCTGGGCGTGATGGACCTTGGTAGGGTCACTCCAGACTAAGGCTCAGCTTAGCTCTTGAGACTTGGAAACTCAATTCTGTCAATTCTTTAAGGAATAATCAGGATCTACTCACCAGAGAGTTCTACATCTTACAACTATTTCTCAGTGTGCCAATTTCTGTTATTTTTAAGAAAAGGAAGCTATGTGGCAGGACCATGGGTTTAGATTCAATCATTCCGGATTTCAAATTCATTTCATTATTTTTTGGCTATTATGACTCCTGAGAACACTGGCTTCCTTGTCCTGAAAACAAGGAGGGCTACCTTGCAGGGATGTTATAGAGATTAAAAGTGATAACATATATAAAGCATCTCACATGGTGCCCTGACCACCAATCAGTAACTGAGTTCCCTTTTCCTTTATCCACTCTTTAGTGCTGTTCTGTCACTACAGGTACAGGAGGAGCTTGTGGGGAGGCCCGCAAGATGAAAGCTAAAAGCTCAGCAGCCAGGAGACAAATGCTGATTTCCCAACCCAGAAAGAATGACTGGTCATCCTCTAAAGTCCAAAAGCTGCTTAACTTGTGATCTACCAAGGATTCAAAAATCTTGCACATTGTCTTTCAGGAGAGAATCCTTAGAGTTTTCCAATTCTAGTTCCAGGGAACCAACTGGATAAACATTCACCCACTCTCACAATGATAGACTCCCAAGAACCTGAGTTATATGTTATGAAGCTAGTGTTCTAAACATCTCTAACATTCCTGGAGTACAGGGAAAAAACAAATCAAGGGAGAGGTTAGTTTTTAAATTATAAGTTTTTGTTTCAAAAGATACATGATAGAACATTTTATTAATAAAACCTCTTGCATTCTAGAAGGAAAGCAAATAATTTCATTGTAAATATTATCTGGGTTAGATATTTTTGAGACAAGGTCTTGCTCTGTCACCTAGGCCAGAATGCCTTAGCCTGGGTCACTGCAGCCTCAACTTCCCAGGATCAAGTGATCCTCCTGCCTTAGCCTCCCGAGTATCTGGGACTACAGTAGGCGCATGCCACCATGTCTGACTACTTTGGGTTGGATACTTTTAAGGGTCTATCTCAAATTCTGCTGATACAGAGAACACCCATTGTAAACCCACTTTTACTGACCACACCTTAGTATAATGCCGTTAGTTCATATAGAGGCAAGCAGCAAGAAAAAACGCTGTCAAACTCATCAGTGTGACAACTCTAAGGATGTGGCTAAGCACCATGTTCACTGCAGTATACTTAGGAGGTTAAGCGGTGTCCTCTTTATCGAACCTCTCAAAAGCAATCTGTATTGCTGATCTAAGAACCAAAAAAAAAGCTGAGCACCGTGCCACGTGCCTGTAGTCCCAGGTACTTGGGAGTCTGAAGTGGAAGGATGGCTTGAGCCTAGGAGTTCAAGACCAGTTTTGGGCAACATAGTGAGGCTCCATTCTCAAAGAATAGAAAAAAAAAAGAAAAAAGAAAAAAAGAACCAAAAAGAGCTGTATTTTCCCTGAGACCATTCATTCATTTAACTAACAGTTGCTGAGCCCCTTCTGTTGCCTGAGCCAGGCAGGGTGCTAGGGCCAAGCCTGGCACAAGGACAGAGTCTGCCCTCTAGGCTATAGGCACTGAACTGTGTAGCTGATCAGATTTCCCATTTATGAGGCTAGAAACCTTAGCGGTAAATCTTTGGCCCAGTCAGTAGTAACTTTCCAGGACTTTGAGGTATGTATACTGAAGCCCCACTCCTGGCTCCACTCTCTTTGGTTCCACTTCTTAATTTATGCTGTTTTGCTTTTATATCTTAAGCTGTCTTAAATTTTTTCTGCAAGAAGTAAACAAGCAAATTTATAAAGGCAATATATATATTTTAGTTTATTTTTGCTCTGGTTATTATGAGCACATTTTGTTCTTTAAAAAGAACTTAAGAATTGTAATCTTTACCACTTATAGTATATCTTAATATTATATAGGAAATATAAGTGTTATGTAAAGTAGTTTGATTTTTTCCCCTTTAACGTACTTTTTTTTTTTTTTTTTTCAGTTCATCTGCACCTAGAGCTTTTCAAGAAACCTTAGGGAGGTGGCAAGGAGCATAATAGCAGTACTTAGGCCTGGTTTCAAGGGCAATAGCTAGAAGCCTTAGTAGGACCTAAAACTTTGTGTTCAATTGACAGTTTAAAAAATTTTTGATATTAGAGAAGTAGGAAGACAAAATTATAGAGTCATAAGTATAATATCTAAAAATATGTGAATAAATGCTAAAAAAAAAAAAAAAAAAGTAAGCTCTTAGCTCATAGCATTCCATGTTCTTAAAAACATGGCACCAGTCCCTGAGAGAATCTCACTCAGTCTATGTGTCAAGCACTGAGTAGATGCTCAATAAACAGCTACTAAATAAAAGAATAAATATATTCTAGTGTCCTGTTACTGAACCACAGATATATCTATATTACATATAATACTGTATTCACATATACAATGTATTAGAAAGAGCAGTCTTTTTGGGGAAGTCATAAAATGATAAATGATCAACAGATATAGTTTATTTATCACAAAAGTGATTGTATTTTACATCAAAAATGACAAATTAAAAATGAAATATATCACTATCTATACAAGTATAACCTACTGAGATCCCACATTTTAATCCATTTTATGACCCAGAGACTACATTTTAATAGATATTATAAGATACACCATAATATTAATTATCTCTTAGAATTTTAAGAAATATGGCTTATGTATCAGGCTTAATGAGTGAGCCAAAGCCTTTATCAGCTCCCTCAAAACTGATAAACTGGAAAGATTTGAAATCTGAATAGCATATAAAAGCATAATGTCTATGTTTTCCATAGTTAATTTATTTGCTGTTAGGCAGTTCTTCAGCCAACATCCTCTGTTTCTGACCAGAGTAGTGTATCTCAAGCAGGAACAGTAAGACAAGCAGGGTCATAGATGTTTATTGTTTCATCCCAAGAACAGTCAGCCACCTAGAAAACAAAAATGAAGTAAGAAGAAATGTATTTAGATGTACGAAAATTCAAAATTGGCAGCAAAAACCCAAGTCATTTAGAGTGTCGTAAATCATCCACTAGTAAACATATTTTTGAACAGGAAAAACATAGGGCTAAGTTTTTGATAAAAAGTCTATATTCCCTTTTTAGGATATACCTCAGGGTATTCCAATTGATTCCAATTGATTGAGTATATTCCAATTGGTATATTCCACTTGATTGAGGTTTCCTATAAGAATGTCCCCCACCTTCACTCCACCCAACAACTACATAATTCCCTACCATCTGAGAGAAATGTTGAAAAGATACATTCCAGACTGTGAACAAGATGCTGTGCTCAATATTGTGGGGATAGAGAGGAAGATAAAGTAAAGCTCTGGCCTTCAAAAAATGGCTCATTCAAGACTGACTGTGGAAGGTGCACTAACAGAGACTCTTAGGGGGACTATATGATTCTAGCTGGGACAGTGTAAGACAACTTCACAATGCCATGGCATTCCCACCGGACCTCTGTAGGAGGCAGACACAAAAGACAAGGACATTCACATCTACAAAGCCATAGGAAAACATGAAGGGAAAAGTCCAGGGTGTTCAGGAACTATGCATTAAAAACTTAGTGTAGCAATGTCTCCAGGTATAAAATTAATACATGAAAATGAATTGTATTTCTATATACTCATTTTTTAATAGAAATGGATGAGGCAATTTTTAAAATTTATGTGGAAATGCCAGGACTTAGCCAAAAGAATCTTGAAACGAAACAACAAAGCTGCACTACTTACTCTAGCTGACTTACAGGCTCAGCATGAAACTACTGTAATCAAGACTGTGCAGGATTAGGATAAAGACAAGTAGACCAAAGGAAGAGAACAGAGTTCAGGAATAGGCCCCACACTAGGACAAATGGCTTTCAACAAAGGTACCAAAACAATTAAAGACAAAAGGAAAAGTCTTTTCAATAAATGATGGTAGAACAACTGAATATCCATAGGGAAAAAAGTGAATCCTGACCCCAACTTTGCACATAAAAATGAATTTGAGATGGACCACAGACCTAAATATAAAAGCAAACAGTATAACACTTTTAGAAAAAAAAACAGGAAAATATATTCTCAATACAGAGGTAAGTAAAGATTTCTTAGGGATACAAAAAGTAATAATCACAAATTCTTAGGGATACAAAAAGTAATAATCACAAAAATTTGGTAAGTTACTCTCAAAAATAAAACTTTTGCTCATCAAAAGACACTGTTAAGAAAATGAACAGGCAAGACACAGTTAAATAAAAGATTAATAAAATATACACCTGACAAATAACTTGTATCCAGAATATATAAAGAACAAATACAACTCAATAATAAAAGACAATCTAATTAAAAATGATGGGCAAAAGTACGCGCATAAAAAAGTGCTCAACATCATTAGGGATTAGGGAAATGCAAATAAAAGTAACAATGAGATACCACCATATACTCACATTATGGCTAAAATTAAAGATTGACAACACCAAATGTCAGCAGGGATATGGAACAGCTATGATTGCATAGATTGCTGGTAGGGATGTACATGGTACCACCATTTCGGAAAACAATTTGGCCATTTCTTACCAAGTTAAATGCATACCTATCTTTTGACCCAGTAATTCCACTCCCAGATATTTGTCCAAGAAAAATGAAAACATATATTTGCAAAACAATGTATACAGGAATGTTCACAGCAACTTCATTCACAATAGCAAAAAATCGAAAACAAGGCTGGGCGCAGCGGTTAATACCTGTAATCCCAGCATTTTGGGAGGCTGAGGCAGGTGGATCACCTGAGGTCAGGAGTTCGAGACCAGCCTGGGCAGCATGGTGAAACCCCGCCTCAACTAAAAATACATAAAATGAGCTGGGTATGGTGGTGCATGCCTGTAATCCCAGCTACTAGGGATGCTAAGATGGGAGAATTGCTTGAAACTGGCAGAGGCTGCAGTGAGCTGAGATTGTGCCACTGCACTCCAGCCTGGGCGACAGAGTGAGACTCTGTCTTAGAGGAAAAAAAAAAAAAAGGAAAACAACCAAAATACTCACTAACAAAAGAATCGATAACAAATTGTAGTAAATTCATACAACAGAATGTGCTCAGCAAAACAAAGGGAGGAACTGCTAACAGGCTCAGTACCATGGATGAAGCTCACAGGTAAGAGGCCAGAAACAAGTGAGGACATACAGAAGAGTTCCTTGTAAAATTCTAAGACAGGCAAAACTCATCTAAGGTAAATAAACAAACAAACAAAAAATCAGAACAATGTCACTCTTCTCACCTGGAGGGAAGGGTGGGGACAGGGGAGATTGGAAAGGGGTAAAAAGGAAACTGGGGAAAAGATCAAATAACTGGGATGATGTGAATTTCACAGGCACATCTATTTGTCAAAAATGTATATCTAAGATTTGTAAATTTCAATATATGTTAATTATACCTAAAAATAGTAAAAATAATGTTAGCGATAATAACTAAACGATGGGTGAGAGTACAGGAATAAATAAGAATGTTGATAGTTGCTCAAGCTAAGTAATGAAGTTCATTATCCGATTCTGTTACTTTGTATGTTTCCAAAAATTTCCACAATCAAAAAAAAGAAGAAAAGAAACAAGGTAGGCAGTAAAATGAAAGATGAAGTAGGAAGAGAGTACTTTTGACCAAAAGTATTTGCACTCCATTTCCCAGCCTTTCATGGTTATTACAAAGGTTGAAAATTACACAAGAGAACCCTCGTTTTGACTAATGTAATTTCTTGGCTATCACTAACTTTGAATACAAGAACCATTCAAACTAATCAGAGTAATATTAGCTCCTTATCATTCAGTAGCAATATTCTGAGATCACAATCCAAGTTACAGAGAGCGTTATAGACTTTTTAGTCAAATGTTTACATTTTAAAATCACACTCTTCAAAATCTGGTTGTTCCCACTTCATTTCTCATTGCACCAGGATCACACCTCAAATCCAAGCATGCTGCTTATGCCTCTTGATGCTCTTGTTCCTTTACTGATCCCTTCCCTTTAATAACTCCTCTTCTCCCTCCCTTTATGTCTGCTCCTCTGTCCCCTTTGCCTTGCTCTGCCAGAGATGTCTCTTCTTTAAAAAAATCAGTTTAGGCATCACCTCCTCTATGAGGTGTACTCATAATACTTCATTGTACCCATAATACTTGATTGTACTTATTTTACTGACTGAAGACAAAGAGTTGTCTTCAGCTCTTTCAGGGCATGGACCATGTCTTCTTAGAACATAACTCAATGAATATTAGCTCAACAAATTAATCTTATCGATTAAAATTTCAGAGATTAACTCTGTCCTCATGTTCACACTAGAGTAGGAGAGCTACAACCAGAACCTAAACTTGTTGAATGTATCCACTAAAAACAGTGCCTCATAGAAAAGGCACACTGAAAACCATTACTTGCCTAATCTTGCAGTTTTCAGTTTTTATACCAGAGGACACAAAGATCATTATGTTAAATTAACCGTCTCATCTATGCTTATTTTTTTTTCACGTGCTGGGCCTTTCCACAAGTTAAACATCCACTGCTGGAGAGAAAAGAATCAGATAAATAACACTTAGGTTTCTAGTGCAAGGTAGCTATAAATTATGTTTCTGAAACCTTATTCAGCACTCTTCAATCCAGCTTCTTATTTACTCAGGACTTATAATAACTACCAAATAATTTTAAGGCCACTGATTCAGCAAATGTTCATTAATCTATACTTAATTGGATTAAGATAGATGTAAAACTGCAATGATATAGAATTAGGAATAGATTAATTCAAATTGATGAAAATAGTATTTCTCTATTTGTTAATTAAACCCTATCTGGTTCTACAAATTTCAGCAAACTAACAATAAAGAAAATAATAATAAGGTAAGAAAAAAGCACTTTACTAACAAACAAAGAGGCTCCAGATTCTCCAAGGTTGCCATGTAGGAACTTCCTGGTAAGAAAAACTATTGTGCCATGTGGTCCCCAGGGCACCTCTTATTAATTATCACCACCACTGCAATGGCTTCTGGTAGCACTACTTCCCCTCTAATTCTAGAACTGAAAGTAAACACAGGGTTCTTTCTTAATGCCCCATGGTACCTATCTGTGGTCAGCCTAAGAGACATTTAAAAAAGACTGTACTAAAAATAAGGGCTAACAAAAAGACACATATTAAAAAAAGACTTTGCTAAAAAAAAAAAAAGTGTTAACAAACAGAAAAAACAAGTAAAGAAAATGGCATGAAAATAAATAATCTGCTTTATAGGATGAGATACACTCGTTCTTTAGCTTGTCAAACAAAGAGGTATCTTTCCTGGCTCCCAATCTGCTTCCTCATAACAAAAGCTTCCCCTTCCATCCCCAGAAATGCATGCCTGGCCATGAAGACTCCTTCAAAGCCAGACTCAAGATACAGAATGAGAAAGATGATGATAGGAATCTCCTTTTCTACTTACCTAAGATTATCTTTCTCAGTTTCAGTCCCATATATGAGAACCCCACTTGTTTGCCCATTATCTTGCTATAAGAAAAACTGTGAATGATTGAAATCAGAAAAAAAGATGACTAAGTATCCTTTCAGTGGGAGGCTGGCATTGTCTTAGGGACCATATGGGTTACCTGTTTCTCCAGAGCTCTGTGCGTTTCACTTTCTGACTACTTTAGAACTCTGTAAATTATAGAAAACAGATAGCAATGCAAACGATTCCCATTCATAAAAGTTGCAAGGGAATCCTGTCCTGTAGAGATGCAACTGATGCCCCCGCTTACCCCCTGCAAGAGATGACTCCAAATCTTAAGTCTTATTGCCCTGTGGATACTGTCCAGTTCTGCACCTATTAGTAAATTCATTTCAGCACTCAATGATTCCTTTAAGCTAGCTGTCAAATCTTACATGAGTTACATAAATGAGTTAAATAAAATCTTTGACACATGTTCATACTATGAGAGTC